TTCCTTCCTTCCTTCCTTCCTTCCTTCCTTCCTTCCTTCCTTCCTTCTCACCCTCCCTCCCTTCTCAGTTGAGAAACCACTGGAAAAAAGTTTGGAGAGGGTGGAGAAGCCAGACTCAATGGTTGTTGTGGCCAGTTGCATTCCAGACAAAGAATGGAAGTGGGGGGGGGAAACATGTTGTGTGTTCCTGTATGTTAAACCAATGCAAAGTTTACATAGCATTACCTCCATATGTGAGTGAACAGAGTACAGAGATTCTTCCGCCCCCCCCCCCAGTCACAGAATGTGTTACAGCTCTCATGCACACACACATACACCTGCAAACCCGCCTCCCATTTGCTTCCTCAAGGTGGAAGGTGCAAGGTGATCGATCAGTGGGAGGGGAGGGGGGAGCAAACTTGGTGGAGAAAGCAAAAATCATTTAGATGCGTTTCTCCCAATGGAGCCCCTGCATTGTAGAGGTCCTACAGGGGACCAAGGAGCAGACATTGGCTAGGAGGAAGGGGGACTGAAACCAGACTGGATGAATGGAGGGAGAAGGGAGAGGTGAGCTGAGAGCCACGCAGAGGCCCATCAGGCTGGAGTCCAGTGCAGAGGCAACGACAGGTGGGAGGAATCACCTACTTGCCTGTGTTTTCCAGTGTTTCTCTGTTCCCAGAGCCTCTGGCAATTAAAAAAAAAAAGCCTGGAGAGCACCGGCTTCCTTTTTTTCTTCCACACTCTGGACTCCAGCCTCACACTGAACGGGGAGTTGGCCTACTGCCCAACGCCAGGCTTTCCCCCATTCTTCCTACCCCATGCCAGACTTCTTCCCCCCCCCATGCAAGCGGAGAAGCCGGACCAGCCCTGCCGTTCACCTGTTGCCTCACAACACAGCCCCTGTAATCACCCATTGCACGCTGCCCCCCTAAGAGCAACAGGACTGCTGCCTACCACCCATCCAATTGGCTGGCAGCTAACTGTCCCATGTGGCCAAAATCCCGGGACAAAGGGGGCCTCGGCAAATGGGCCAGGCTGAAGGGTGCGAGGCGGAGTGCCAGGGCCCCAACGGCCAGGGACAATGGGTGGGGGTGGCTTAGTCGAGGAGGAACATTGCAGGCAAATGGGCAGAGGCAGTAGGCTTGAGGTGAAGGAGGTGTGGCCAAGGGTAGGAGCCAAAGGATCCTAAACCTGTATTAGCTGAGAGTTGAACAGAACGTCCTCTCTTTCCTCTCTCTCTCCTTGGATGGTCCTTACAATGTGTGCATTAGTCATTTTCAGCAGGCAACTGATGCATGTTTTCTATGTACAGCTAGCCATTTGGTAAGGCCCTGAAAAGGGAGAATTCTGGTTGATTGCATAAAAAGAAGAGAAGCACTATTTCAACGTATATCTTAATGCAGTGCATGCAAACTGCAAAGGAGCTGCAAAACTGCAGTCAATCCAGGCCTATCATCTTCCTTGTTACAGCTCCACCCATGCATTTGTTACAGAACATTGATCAATTTTTAAAATAAATTGCACTTAAATATGCTGAATTATTTCTAGAACTGCTAAAATGACCTTTCTACAAAGTGAATTACAAAAAATGGTATATCATTTTGAGGTGCCATATATTTTTTTTTCCCGATCTTTATGTATGTGATGACTGTCTTTTTAAAAGATCTTCCCTCTTCCCTTTATACAGTGAGCATGGCCACTAACAGGCTTATAGGTGCAGTGGCAGGGACCATTCTGGCACTGGGGGTGATATTTGGAGGCACAGGGTGGGGAATGGAGTAAGCATATTTATTAGTTTCAGAGTTTTATGTTTGGTGCCTACTGTGTGAGGTAACTGTACGCATCTGATCCCTCTGTGTACTCCAACTAGCTTTGTGTTCTGTGGTGACTGTATTTGTCATGTGATTTTAATATTTGTGTTGTGTGATATGCTCATGCAATGTTTAACTGTCTCCTGTCTGGGATAATGTGGGGCATAAAACAATAGTTTGCCAATTTTGTAGCACCACAATTAATACAATTCAATATTTATATGTTTTCAATGCTCTAAATTATAAATAAAAATTTTAAAAAATATAGTTTAAAAAATTTGTATAACAGGTAACTTAGTGCACTTGATATAATTTGGTTTATTACCAGAAGCATTCAGAGGAATAGTAAGTAAAAGTATATGAATTAAATAATTAAAAAGCAGAATTCCATGGGAACTGTAACTAATATATCCATCGATATCTATCTACAGCGCCTCTCTCTCCCTCTCTCTCTCTCTCTCTCTCTCCACCTCCACACACACACACACACACACACACACACACTGGTGGGATTCAGCTGGTTCACACCAGTTCGGCAGAACCGGTAGCTAATTTTTTGTTGCCCAGGCCCAGAATGGACTTTTGTCTGGACCTCAGCCAGCATGTCTGAAGTCCACAACATCTTAAAGTGGCTAAGGTTAAGAAACTCTGACCTAGACCAATAACGTATGATGTTGTTGAACCTTATCTGAGTAAGGGAGCTTTCTTCATGCAGAGCCAGTGAACATCCAAATGTGCATTAGGTGTGTATTCCCACCAGTGCCAGGAGGATTGTGTACGTTTTCTTGGCCTAGCGAGAAGCCATTTTGATCATCATAGGGCTCCTTATCTGAGCTTATCTGTTGTTTGTGTCACTAAAACTGGATCAAGGCTATTATGAATATTTATATTAAATGAGATGAATCATTTTGAAATAGTTAGCATGGTATTATTGACATACATATTGATGTGTCAACCATATACTTGGTTAAAAATAAGTATAGCTATTTAGGAACTTTATTAGATATCATTAGATAGCCTTTATCGTAATATCATTAGAATTAGTTGTCCTTTTTATTTGGTTTCCTTTAAAGTAATGCATGCTCTTATGTATTCTGCCTACTAAACCTAAACTATATTTATAAAATCAAAAATTATTCTGCTATTATTTCTAGAATAGCAGATTTTTCAGATAACTGCACATTTTCCATAACACTGCATCCTTCCATCCATCCTGTCTCTTTTCTTCAACCTGATGGTGGCATTTCTGATTAAGGTATCAAAGAAAGCAGAGACAGCTTTAGTGGTCACTGATGGCTGTAGAGAAGAGGAGAGGATCCTAACTTTTTTATTATGAATAATTTAACATTAGATTTTCTTAAAATCAAAATTGCTTTGATACTATCATAACTAATGAATGCTGCTATTTTTTTGCATCAGTGAGTGATCTGCCTATAGTTTTAAGAAATGATAAATACGTGCATGCTGCAGAAAATTCATTATTAATCCAAACTATTACTATTTTTCAGTAAAATTTGATTAAATAAGAGTAGCATATATGTCTACCTAACAGCAGCTGAAACATCATTAAATAAGGAAACTCTCATTCTTCATCAGGCTGGATATTAAGATGCTGGTAGAGATCCTATATAATAAAGGATCTGAAAGAAAGAAAAGTATGATAGCCCTCATTAAAGGAACTGATTTTCTATATTGTGTTAGTCAGAATCTAATAGAGTGTTTTAATCTAGCAGTCACCTGGCAGATTAATTCCCTGATTGGCAAAGGGAATTAACTTGCTGCATGATGGAAGGTAACAATGGATAATAATCCACCACTGTTATGGGAATCCAGTTTGGATGATCAAATTTGTTACTCTCTAAATTGCCAAAAGCAATATTTCCATATTTGCATGCCATTATTTTCATAAGAAAATATGTTTGCAAGGGTATATCTTGAATTCATTATTAGATATTCACCCTAGTGCTGCAAAAGTGGGTAGATGGTTTAAAGATGACCTTCAAGAGATACAACAGGCACAAGAAATTGTTTGCCAGGAAGGAACATGCAGAATTTCCCATATTGTAAATACAATGTGCTCTTCATTTTAATAGCATGTGTTTGCAGGAGGGTTACTTTCAGGCAGCCCATCCTTTCTGTCACACTTAACAAAACTGGCCATTTCTCAGGCAAGCAGGGGAAGGAATAAAAAAAGAAGGCTGGCTTCTAGGCATTAGGACTGGGATAAAATAAATCATTGCTTCCTCTATAAATAATGACAATTTCCAATAGCACTTGCACAAAATCCTGCTTTTTAAAATTTAAAAACAAATTTAAATGTCCATATTAGTTTTAACTATGAACATTTAACTATGGATTTTTTAACAGCAGTAGCACATGTTCAAAATCATCTCTACTCTGTCTTGTTTTTTAAAAGACTATACTGTGAATCTAAGCAGAAAGATTAAATCATATATGTATCATTTTGTTGTGATTGCATTTGAGAAGTAAAATAGTGATGGTGTTTGTTGTTTTAAGGGTCAGCTTTGATGGAAGTACTCAAGTACACAATGATTTACAATGCCACAGGAAACATTTATTTAAGTCACTAAACAAAAGTCTTTTTCGCTGTATATGGAATGTAAATAAAATTTGAAAGAATAGACCCAGGACTTGTCACTTGAACTTCTCTCACCCACAAATGATTGGACTTACAGGTTTTGCACTTATTTTCATGGACCAATTAGGCTATTATTGCTTTTTGTTATTTTTAGTTGTCTTTGGTATTTTTTCCCTGTTTCTCCTGATGCTGCTTTTTTCTTGTTTGCTCTTCAAAATTCTTCCAAACTTTATCCAATAATTTAAAAAATTAGTTGTCTATAAAACATTACTATCTGACGGTTTTATTTAAAAATGTTTGAATACTGCAAAATTGTAAGATATTTGTGGCATTATAAATGTTTAGATAAGTTTAAACTGGAGTCCAAAGTTTCATTAGTAAGAAATATTCTAGGGAAGCTTAGTTTGTATATGGAATCATGATAGATAATTCATCTATCTTAAAACTTTTTTCTTCATATAGCTTTTAAATAACTTTGGCCCTTTTGAAAATGTTCCTTTCAAATAGTTTAATAGCTCACTTATTTTAAATTGTTTTACTACATTTCCCTGGATGTGAATGAATTAAGTGATTGGTTCTGATTTCTTTTTTCCCATCATCCTTTGTCACAGGTCCTAGTGCCACCAATCTTATAATAGGTTCCATCGCTGGTGCCATCCTGGTAGCAGCTATTGTCCTTGGGGGGACAGGATGGGGCTTTAAGTAAGCAATGCCGCATGTCTTTTTTTCCAGTGGCTATAGCACTTCTTTCTGCTTACATCACTAGATTTTGAGTTCCTGCTACAAGATCACCAGTAATGGTTTACTTAAAAAAAAAATCCATATTTTGTAAAAAGCCAAAAATATTTTTAAGAAATCTCAGAAATGTCACCAGGGTGCAAAGTTGCAATATAGAGTATCTAACAGAGTCACCAAAACATAGTATAAAAGGTATTTTTGTAATGCAGCAAATGTGACTCTTGGATAGTATTAGCGATCTCCAACCTAAGGAAGCTTGTGAAACTGCTGTGGAGATGACCAGTGCAAAAATGTTGCCCTAAAAAGAGTAGTTACTTACAAAATGCTACTTGGAGGGCTTCAATAGAGCCCTGAAAGCCTGAATGCAAAACAGTTCAATTCCCAAATGTCAAAACTAATACTGCATTACATTCCAAGAACACAACTAGTAATTCATTTTGCAGAAGGAAAACCAATAAGGTCAATGAAAGCATACTGTAGCTCACCCAAGTAGTACCAGACTGAAATATGAACCCAATCTCAAATCCCCGAACTAATTTTTTCATCTTGGGAGGGCATAATTTAAATCAAGCAGTATTATTGATAGACAGCCCTCCTCTTACAGAAACCCCAGTCCGTAAAATGTGTAAAATCTTTTGCATACACAGACTCATACTCATTTCATAACCTCATCTATCCCTCTGCATCTTGACTGGAATTATTTTGCAATGAGTTATTTCAGCACTTATATATTTTAAGAATAAAAATAGCACTTTTGTAGCTTTATCTATGTATTCCTAAAAGTGAACATAAAATGATTTTGACTCTGAATTGGCAGTGGAAAATTTTAGAATTTTGAAAAAAATGTAACAAAATGTCAGCGTGGTAGATACGGCCCAATATAAAATGAAATTTTAAAAAAGACAACTTGATCTGTATAAGTACAAGTGATTTTTCCAAGAATCTGAATTTGAAGCTAAGAAGGAAATGTTTGTGAGTTCATGGTTGTCGCATTTTTTTTATCCCTAAGCTAAGTAAAGAAGGTTAGAGAAATCTAGGACGTTTGTATCTTCATATCAAATATTACATAGATACAGAGAGACCACATAGATTTTTCTATTAATAGCATGAACCTTAAGACTTCTTTCTAGGGTAGAATGCTTAATGAAAATGGTTCAGCAAAAGCTTAATAGTAAAACAGTTACTTTAGTCCATTGCCCTATGTATGGATTAGTAAATGGGCTGAGGAAACCTTAATCCACTAGTCATGTGGAAATAGCTTTCACAAATTATCTGCACAGTTTGGGCATTGGGGGGGGGAGTCATTGGGGGGTAGAAAAAGTCAAGATGGCAACACAGCCAAAATTTTTATTATTTACTTGCAGCTGTTATCTTGATTGTTTTAAATCTCTCCCTACTCCATAGATACACTGCATCCAGTTCCTTATGACAGGTTTTTTGTTTGTTTGTTTATTTGTTTGTTTGTTATTAGGGGCTGAAAGAATGTATTGTGGGGAAGATAGAAGGAAGTATTTCTCTTATATCAATTGATAAAAATTATAAAACATAAATATGGTGTATTTTTATATAAAACTAAATAAACAGATCTTACTAATTAATGTAGTTTATATATTATTTGGACATATGAAATATACTTAATAATAATATGTCCTGCTTTTAATTCTGTTCAGATCATTGATATAATAATTTACTTCTTAACGTCATGAAAACAGGCAAGATTCTACTCCCTTTCAGAGAGAATTGAGGTAAGGATATTAGTTCATTTTACATTATTCACCACACATAAAAAGCAAATGTTTGTAGTTAGAGACTTCTAATGAGGAAGATTCTCCCATGAGGATTCTGAAAAAAATCACGAGGAGAGGCTCTAATACAGAACTTCGAGATTTGGAAGGCAATGAAGGAAGTGGACTTGTGCATTCATTCCCACTACTACACATAGAATTTCACAAGGATTGATATCAGCTGGAAAGGGCTTATGTGAGTTGAAATTCCTTGTAATTAGATCTGAAGCAAAAGCATAGCCTAATTAATTTCCTTTATAAGTCATGTACTAGAAAGTGTCATTAACCAAAATCAGTACAGTAAGCACTAATTATTAAACTGTAATATCAGATATGGAAATTCCTACTGAATGAATAGTACTCATTTCATTCAATGTATTTACAAGACCCTCTTAACCAACTAATGAAAACAAAACCCCATTCTATGCAGAGATGGGAAACCAGTCTTTCAGATCTTCTTGAGCTATAGTTCTCAGTATCCTTCACTACTAGCCACACTGATTGAAATTACTAGAAGTTGTAGTTATTGATTTGATTCACACAGTCTTGTTTAATCCGTAGTTTCTTGAATAACCCGAATTGGCTGGATTCATGCAATGTCCAAAGTTATAAACAAAGGATGTTGTCTTTTATGATCTCAAGATTATGTCACCAAAATTCAGTAAGACATTGGGCAAGTTTTAGGAGCATATTTTTTGTTTTTGTTTTACAAAATAAAGCATCTGACTAGAAAGAGGAGGGGAAAGGCTCACAAAAAAAAATAGCAAAATAATTAGTTTAATGCCTTAAGAAAAATGCCTCTTCCTGCAGATCTTTATATTTTTATCTTATATTCAAAAAACTCCACTCAAATAGTATTTTGCACCTTGTGTGACATTTACATATACGTTATATGAAATATAATGAATTGATATGTCTGTATGGATAGTCATACAGAGTAAACAACTCAATAGCTCTCTTGCTTTTTTATAGGAAACTATTTTATTCTGTAGCAGAACCTCAAATATGATGGTCTCGCCTAGCTCTCAGCTTGAAGTGCATGTTTCTTTGGGGTAAAGTTGGAAAAAAAGGGTAGATTTTCTCACTAGAATCTAGATAGGTCTTCTCATATTTTGCTGTTTCATTTAGTATGTATGAGAGCCTTAAGAGAACTCAAAATATTTATGTTATCTGCTAATAATATTACTGTGTGCAACAACATCCAAATCTATAGTTTAAGATTATATTTTAAATTTAAAAAGGCAAAAAATAAGGGTCTTTAAATGTCCAGTGGAAAGGACACTTAAGGAATAATTCTGTAGAAACAGTTAAATATTTTAATGTGGCATCATAATATCTATCTGAGAATGTTCTTTTCTGAGTATTCTTAGTTTGGATCATGACTAAACCCTTCACCCAGCCGGACATTTCTGTCCCCTTATCCTCAGTGCATCCTCTGAGGGCCAGGAGACCCTTCCAGTTTGTGAAGAAACATCAAGGCCTCCAGTGAGAGGAGAAAATGGATGAGATTTGTGAGAGTAGCTTGAGGGAGAAGAAGAGGGGGAAGGGAAGTCCCTAATGAGCAACTCATGCACTTCTGGAACCAACTCATTATGTTCCTGTTTATTTTTTAAAAAATATTATGACACTAATTAAAATTCTTCTTAGTACTTATGTGATAACTTTCTTCAGATGCATGAAAAGTTGAATTTAAATATTTTTGAGGTAAACATTTTGTAAAGGTTCCTCAGTGAAGATAATAGATTTTTATATGAGTTGGTCTGTCTAAAAATAATATGAATTCTTATTTTCACAAATAAGCTGCATACATGACTAAACCTAATATTTGGTTAGATAATGGGGAATATATCAATATTAGTGTTGTTTTATGGGGTGCTGAACTGTGAATTAAAATTGATCTTTCCCTCCTTTTTTGTATCCCAACTTGTCCTAAATGCTTATAAGCATCCTGAAATATATATCCATATATCCAAAAGAATTTAATTAAAATATATAATTTATAGTATACACTATTATAGTCATTTGACTGAGATGGATGGCTATAGAAATTGAATTAATAAATAAATAATTGTATTTATGCTGTGCATGATGAATTGATACATTTTGAGACATGTATTTCTTATAAAATACAGAGGTGGATGGATGGATGGGTAAATGAATACAAAGCAAGGTTTTCATGTTTTGTTAAAGTTTACTGTATATCTGGAATTAAATTATTTTCTTGTTTAGCATAAAAAAGGGGTTGCTACTGTTAGATATGATTGTAAGATCTGTTTTTGTATTGCAGTGCATACTATTTCCCCATACCAGAGACAGCCAATTTCATGTTATTCCTCCCAGCTTATTGCCAAGGAACTAGAATGATAATTGTCATTATTTTTTACCAATCACAATTGTATCCTTTTAGTCCTTATTCTGAAACTTTCCCCCAAAATTAAAGAAAAGTTAATTAAATAAATTAGATTAATTGATTAAATTAAGTAAATGAAATAAAGTTGATAAATAAATAGCTTCTTTCTAGATAAGCAAGATATAGTTATATCTTTTCTCTTCAATTTGCTATACTCAAATACAGATTTTATGTGTATAACCATATTTCTTTTCTACTTAATTTGTTTTGAATAATGTATTTAACTGAAAAGAAAACTAGGATTTCCCTTAGCAATAATTTAAAATAGAAGATTCAGGTGTTTTGGTTTAATTCTCCTTAAACAAAGCAATTTTTTCATTTGCCATTAGAATAATGGCCTTTTTTGTCGATTTATACAGTATTCATAAAGTTTTTGCATCTTTTTAGTTCCCTACTGTAGAATGTCACTTAATATATAAAGAGGTTCCACCTCACCATTCAATGTGTCTCCTGAAGTGTGAGTCCCATGGTTCCCTCAGTTCCTTTTTGGCTGCCATTGTGTTCACATTTGAGATAATTGTTCCTTTGTCCAATTTGGAGAACTGTAAATGGGATTCAAAGTGGTGTTCTTTCATGTTATCTTCCACTGTCGATGCTTTAATGAAAAAGCAGTTATCTTGGTCACATTAGTCTATGTACTGAACAGATCCTGAGGATTGCAAGGTCCCAGTTATTACAAAGTAAGAAACCCTGATTCCCAGCTTTCTGACTTCACTGTCTGTCAGAGGCTTTGGTGTTTATAGCTATTCCATTGTTGACAGCTATCTCAAGAATAGCAAACTAAGTTATCCCAGGTCAAATAGGAAAGATGCTTCTTTTTGTACAAACATCTAAAGGCAAATCATAACCTACCAGCACACAAAATAGATATCTTCTCCTTTGACAGGCCATAAGGGCAGTAAGCTTAAATGTATTCAGCAGACTTTTTTTCTCTCATCTGCTACTACAACCTTTCTGACTTTAAAGAATTGTGCATACAATTTCATACAGCAGAGGAAAGCAGCTTCCTTTTTTGGAACTTCTGTCAAGGGGCAAAGATTTTAATATGATGCAGTCACTCAATAAAAATAGTAAATTATTACTTTGAAACATGGATTAGACTGGGCTTCAGGAAGTGGTCCTCTATCACCATTCATGGCTTGGGTCATCTCATTTCATTCAAGAGTGAAATACTTTATTGATGAGCTTCCCTTTAGTGGGAATGGCCAGTTTCAATTAAAAAAAAAATTAAGCTAATCTGGACAAAGTCCAAAAGGTGAAAATTAGAGCTTCTTGTATGAATACCACAACTCATTAATAAACAAGAGCAGTATATCAGCTGGAGACTGCACATAGCCCAAAGTCACGAGATATCTTACTCCTGAATTTCAGCAGATAACCAAAGAAAAGCAGGCAAAAAATATTAAAAGAAGTTTATACCTTCCTTTAGTCTTAACACACCAGAACTACCAAAACAAAACCAAGCCAAGAATCTCCTTTCCTCCAAATGGCACCCTTGTCCATTTTGGTGTCCTAATTGCTTCACAACCCAATTATTGTAGGCCTAATCTATAATTTTTTGGAAGAAATAAGGCTTGCAGTCACCAAATATTTTCTCCCCGTCCTGCATTCAAATCACATAGCAACCAGTTTTCAAGCTATTCAACCAAGAAAAGTGTCAGTCTTCCCGATCTTTTTCCAGCTTTCAGTTTTTACAGTCTTTCAGCATATTGAAGAGTTGGTTGTTCGGTGAGAGTCTGCTTTGCCTGCTGTGAAATAAAATGTCACAAAGAAACAATCACGGTTGGGATGAGGCATTGCCTGGAGTGCTCATTTTCTTTTTTTTTCCATTGTGCAGCTGATGGCCATTCTTTTTCTCCTCATTCACTAAGCTCCAGGTAGCAACCATGGTGACTCTCACACAGCAGGATAATGGTACTGCATGGAAGGACCTTTAGATCGATGACATAAATTACTTGCTAATTTTGAAGAGCATTTGCTTCATTCCTACCACAGGCGTTCTTTGCCTTCTTTGTGGAAGGGTTGTTTTTTCATTACAGTCTCAAAGATGTGTATTTTCATAGTTTGATCTGATCCAAGTATTTTTTGTATTTTGCTTTTTGGTGTTCATGGAATGTTTATCAAATTCTGTCTTTGAAACCACACATTATAAGATTATTTTAATAAAGTTTGGTATAGCAAAATTATCTAGCAAGACATTCTAAGTAAACATAGTTGTGGTAGATTACTTCCTATCTGCATATCTTAATTAGTTGTAATAAAATGAAAATAAAATCAGTTTTTATGAGGGCTGAATTCACATTAATAAACTATCCAAGATATTTAAAGAATTGCTGACTGCAAATTTCATTTATGGGTTGATATAGTCATATTCTTGTATTGATTGAACATAAATTGTAAAACCATAAAAATGAGTATTGTAATCTTTGTCAATATTTTTTGAAGTCTGAACTCATGCAGTATTTTTTTCTTCTTCCAACATGCACAGCTTTGTTTGGCATGTTTTCCTATTTGGGAGAAGAGATTTTATTTTGTGTGTGAGACCAGTTATAAACTATTTAAAAGACTGCTAGATAACACTGATCACAGGTGTCAAACCTGATCGTGTCACGTCATGTATCATGACATTTTTTGCCTTTGTGGAGCCAGGATGGGCGTGGCCTGCACATGATGCATCCAGCCTGCGGGCTGCCCATTTCACACCCCTGACATAGATGATACTGAGGTTTTCAGTAGAGGTGGCAGGAATAATGGTTTAAAAAGTAAGACACTAACATGAACATAGAGATATAAATTCATGTTAATGATATACTTTCATATTGTTATTTCCTAGAGAGGGATTTTATCAGATCAATAGTTGAAGTAGATTACAACCCTATGCATACTTAGTTGAGGAAAAAACTAAAAATGAGATTTAATTCTGATTAAATATGGAAGAATTGTGAGTAGAAATAGCCTTGTTCTCTATATTTAGTGCACAAAGGGTAGAATTCACAAATTCAACACTTAATTGGCAAATTAAATGTGATTTCCATAAGGGTAATTTTCACATGAAAATAGTAGATAACGGATGATGCTACAGTGGGAAAAGACCCCATAATATGGCCAATTTTTCTATTTATTGTTGCGTATTATATATACTGTCAAATGCATAACCTTTTAAATTGTTTTGTTGTTTTTAAGATACATTGTCATTCTAACTGATATTAGAATGTAAGATTAACTGTACTATATAATTATAAATCTAGAAAAATGTAGGTTTGGTCATTATTTGTAAGCTCTCCTCATACATCATTAAAACATGGGGTATGAAAACACAGTAAAGGCATAGTGTTCAAATCTTCATTTTCATAAAATCCATACAGAGAACCATTTTAGTCTGTTTTAGTAAAAGCAATGTTCTGTGATGTCTTTAAGGTCAAAAAGATTCATTGGTGCTTAAGATTTTGTAAACAAGATGCAAGAAATATCCTGAGTTGTAACATGAGAATAGAAGAAAAATAACTGACCATAGGACGAACACTGTACACTATGAAAAGAAGAAAATTTGTAGAGTTGAAACAGTCACCTACTTCTGATAGCAGCAATTGTGATCATTAATGTCTTGGGATAGTTAGATCTGCCAATACTACATGGCATGAGTATTACTATATTACACTGGAATATTCACTCACTGTGATGCAGTATATATTTGGAGATATATGTCAAATACAAAAGCCAATGCAAATATTGTTATAACAGAGCTGTAGCTATAAACTGCATGTTTCAAATATGTAGACAGAAGTATATAGTACAAAAGTGAATTTTAAAATTTGTCCTTTTGGCAATCATCTATACGTTAATAGCAAAGCAAGTAGTAGCAGTAAAAACAGCAAAATCTTTTTAATTTGAGCACGCAGTGGAAGAACTAAAGGCTTTCATGTTTCATAAAGTTAGGGAATTTGTGAAATCCTGTTCTATGTGTTACTGCATGATAAGGTGGTGGTGAAGCAGTGCACACGCACAGTGTTAAGACTAAATGCATGAATCCCTTGCTTGATGCCCCACATAAGCCAGATTATGGGGAAGTTGCATCCAATTTTTGTGTTGCCTTGTAATGCCTTGCTGTTTATTTATATAGCATATTTATATAAAAACAAGAGAATGGACGTTTATACAGAAAGCTTTTTCTGTGCTAATGACATCAATACAATTTCAGTAATGCAATTAACACCTTTAGGTGTCCATTCTGCTTTAAGAACCATTTCTGTATGGAGAAAGAAAGTGTATGTTGCACATTGCAGTTATGGGCTGACACAAAAGACATCATACATTGCAGTCTGTTGGATATGTCGGCAGAGTTCTTCTCTATGATCTTCTCTCGATACTGTACAAAATGGGATATAGGATTAAAATGCAGTTTCACTTAAAAATTGCTCTCAGAACTCTGCTTTGAAATCTTTTAAATATAAAATTTTTTCAAGGTTACATCTGGGAAGTCTGAATGTGAGCCCATACTCTAATGTGATGATTATGACTTGAGTTTCCCATATGCCTCACTAGTCTATTTCTTATTTCCTATCTCTCCTTTAATTGGAAGAAATGTAAAAAAGAGAAGATATGATCCAAGTCAACAAGGCATCTAAGGAATTCCCTGGAAGATTGTGGCTGTGCTCGACTGGACTCTGGAGGCTCTTTGAAGCAGCTGGCTCTCCCTGCAGAAGTGTACCAGTCATTGTCTACCAGTGGCAAGCTAAGGCACTTATGAAAGGGCTGAAGGAAAACTGTCCTTTACTGGAGATTTAAATTCAAGGACTTCCTCCACTCATTTCTCTCTTTTTTTGGGGATGTTAATGACAAAACAAACTTTGGGAAGGAACTATTTCGCCTATTTTTTGTTCTAAACAAAAATGGAGCAAACAAACCAAGCGCAATAAGTAAACTCTTTCAAACTATTTAAATAGGTAAAGAATTTCTTAATAATTTGAGTTCGCATGATGTTTTAATATTAATGGCAGACTCCAGTGGCATGATAATTTCTGAAATGGTGAATTGCATGGCATAAACACAGCAAATGAGCTAGCAAGAGAGTCCCAAATAAAACCTATTTACCAAGAACATGATAGAACAAACACAGAAGAGCTGATTCTAGGTTTTACCTATGAAACAGGATAATTCCTTAATTCTACCTAATATAGGTATTCCTCTTTGTTTATTTATTGCTTTGGGGCAAACCTCTTTGGGGAATAGCAAATCATACTACATTGAAATATATTTTTTAAAAAGGCTTTGGGGGAAGTCTTATCAAACTCCATTATTACACATTTTTAAAATGTTTCATTCCACATGTGATCTTAAGCTATACGCGTTCTTAAAATTTTTGCTCCTACTTAATTTTGGGGTAGCCCTTTATGTTTTAGAGATTTGGGCATAGCGCAGGGAAATTCCACAAATAAGAGGTATGCTTTTTAAATATGTATGCTTGAAACCAAAAAAAAAGAGATTCATCCAAAACCAATAGGTGTAAATGCGTATGTATACAGTGATTTTTTCCTCTTCAAATGCATTATTTGCAGTCATGCAGATATTTTGTATATATTGTAAGAAGCTGACATCCTCTCAAATTAATCACAGAAGTGCCAAGCTTATGTCTTTTTCATTTTGCCATGTTGTTTTCCTTTCTCAGTCTCATATTGTATGACAGGAAAGAAGCCTAAACAAGCCTTAAGTACTTGTAAAATACTGAGAGCTTTTAACAGGTTAAGGCTTTCCGTGTATTGTTTTATAAAGCCCAGTCTCCCTTTACCCTCAGGACTCCTTTCAGTTTTTAAAAGTACATATACAGGATTCATGTCTTTTTGAATTTATTTCTGTAGTGATTATTTTTCAAAGCATAGCTTTGAATGTTACTTCCTATTGGGCTACATGTGGTTACTGTCACGGAGGTTTGAATTAGAAAAAAACGATGAGAATATTGCCATGTGCACAACCAGATAACATTGAATCCTGCTTAAACAGAGAAGTGGCATACATGAAACAATAATTTAGCCTCTTCCCTTCTCCCAAGCATCCAAGCTCTGTTATAATCAAGCCTTTTCATCGCTTCTTTCATTAGTAAATGTGAAAAGCCGTAATGGCAAATTTCAGCAACTACCCAGGTGTAGTGGAAATAAAGCTTGCTTGTATGGATGCTAGCCAACCGCACGTTAATATTATGCCAATATACAAGGCAGCATCCCACTCTGGTTTTGTTAGCGCTGCTGCTGCTGCAGTTGTGCTTAGGGGTTTTCTGTGCCCGTGTGCTGGGATGCAGTGCCAGTGCTAATTAAGCAGTCATGGTCATTAAAGCAACCATAAAGTAACAAACACATTGTTTAATCCTTTATTACCATTGCTATGACATCAGAGCAGAGTAAACTCAATCTGCAATCATATCCAAAACTCCAAATGCTTGATCATTCATTGCAATGGAAGACTGCTTTGGAATAAGCTTTAAGTGCATAATGAAAAAGCAACTTACTTAAAAGCTTGTTTCCCCAGTCACAAGTATTTGGGCAGGAGCTATTTATAATTCAGTTAATCATATAGAAATCATTTCAATCTGTATATAAATGTTTTATTTTAAGATATAGTTCCCATTGTGTATTAGCATTACAAAAGCAAAGCAAAGCAAAATCTGATGCTTTTCAAGTTAATGTTTGAATCTATTTTTAGATTTCCCTGGGTCAGTTAATACTATACCAATGTGTTGGGATGCCTTTCTTCAAGCTTTATTGACAATTGTGTGAAATCACAGTGGTTTGGCATGACAATCATTTTTAATTCCATTTGAGTTAACTCAGGGGTGGACAACTTGTGGTCCTTGGGCCAACTGTAGCACCTGTTTTTTTTTATTTATTTGCTTGTTTGTTTATTTATTTATTTATTCCCATTAAGAATTATTAGAGATTGTGCTATTGAAATTTAGTGGAAATAAGAAAAATTGTTCTTCATTTTTTTAATGGGAAATGTAAGAAATAAGGAGCACAAACTGTTTGCCATACCTAAATAAGAAAAAATACCCTTCCGGAAACTCCATTACTAATGTGACTTACTGTGCTTATAGTGCAGCCATTAGCCACAAAAATGTTAGGCACTTCCATTTAGCAGGTTGCTGTCTTTACATAATCCTTGCAATGTATTGAAGCTACTGTTTTACAGTGAATGAAAGAAGCAGTGGAAAGCCTGGAATGCAATTACTGATATTTCAGGTCAATAATCTCCAAAGTCAGCAGTGAATTTTATCTTTTCTTCCTGACCTGAAAAACACATTGGAATAAATTCTATATGTGATGTGCTCAAATCATCTTTTCCCCCCATATAAAATGGTCCTATAGAATATTTTATGTAATGCCACTTTGTGTTTAAGTATATTGGAGATTAAAATAAATAGGTGCTAGGTTTGGGTTTTGTTTTGGGAGAAGTGGTAACCACATAGATGGTGCCATTCAATATGGCTACAAAGGTTAGTCTGTTGTATTAAGTAAAATCTTTATGTAATTCACAAAACATTGTAATGTGCGATGTGATTTTTTTTTTAAAATCAGACCACACTGGTCCCCAATTATGTACATACGATAAAGCGTTGGGGTAACTTTTTGTTACACTAACAATTTCATAAGAAATATAATTTCTTTTCTAAATTTCTCCTCTGCTGTTCGGTTCTGTATAGATACATTTAAATACACAGATTATGTATAGACTATAAATGACCATACAAATGCAAAGCTCACAGAAATAAATTGTCATGTTTTCAGTGGACCTAGCCTTACATCATCAAACCTGCTAAGGTCTATACTTATTTTATAATCATTCATTTACAATATTTTGTAAAGAACACATGCAACTTAGGTTTTTTTTAAAACACGATATCATTGTAATGGTCTTCAACACAATAAAAAAATCATTTCAGTCACTATATTTTTGTTTCATTGATAGGATTCAACTTGACAGGAAATGTATGGAAATTTTATATTGCTTATATTGATATGCTGCATGATCCCATTGAATTCAACCAATTCTCAGAGAGGAAAGCTCCACTACGCAAATTAACAAGAATATATTCTAGGTGCATGTTAAAATAAATTACATAGAACTGGAGTTATACAAGATTTTCTTTACTATGCAATGATAGGTATTGCACAAACTTAAAATTCAAAGACAAATGTCTGAGGAACTTTACAAAATACTTGAATTATTTTTGATCTAAAAAGCTATCAGTCATTTTCTATTCATTGTTGCTTACGTTATCAATATTCATCTAAAATAGTAATTATTTTTAAGGTGCACAATTTAACAAACTTATTTTGTCTGAAGCTAATATTCATATCTTGTTGGCTGCAGATGAATGGGAATTCAGTTATTGTTTTGCATCTTAGTAAAGTAGTATTAAAGACATCATAAACATGGAAATCGGCTTCTGTATTTTTCTTTCCTGTGCTGTCATTAGATTAAATTTCACATCAGACCTAATTTTCAAGTAAAGGAAAGGTGTTTGGTATTTTTTTTTTATAGAATATTGGGAAAACAGTTTCCAAGTTCACTTTTGTTGCAAATGTGTAATGTTGAATGTGCTTGTGACTGAAAAAAAAAAACCCATTATGAATGTGCAGTTCAGCATACAGTACATGGACCATTACACATCAAATGAATGTCCTATGGATTAATAATACCTTTTGGGAGAATCTGAGGACTCGTAATGATTCAGCCCTTCCAGAAACTGTAATCCTACAACAGGATTATCTGGAAGTAGCCCCATTAAAAGCAATAGTTCTTTAAACGTAAAATATACAGATTGAAGTATGTTTTTAGAAATCAGAAAGGCCCATCTGTTCTGGCACAAATGGGATCATTTATTTGACTCTGCCTGACAGCCTCAGAACTTTTGTGTATGAAGTTGGGTATACATATTGCCACACTATGCTCTTCTTGACCTTTCAGCAGCCTTCGATGCCATCAACTATGATATCCTTTTGGGACATCTGTGGGGCTTGAGGCTGGAAATGCAGTGCAATCTTGCGCTGGTTTGGCTCCTTTCTCCAAGACCGGTCCCAGTTGGTGTTGATAGGGAGTGAGAGGTTCAGCTCACAGCCATCCCTTTGTGGCGTGCCACATGGCTCAGTATTCACTCCACTCCTTTTCAACATCTACATGAAGCTGCTGGGTGAGATCATTCGTCATCGTGGGTTGAGGTATCACCTGAATGCTGATGATACTCAACATCCCTCCTGCAGTGCTTGGAGTGGGGGCCTGGATGGAGACAACAGGATTTCAGCTGAACCTTAGCAAGATCCCATCAGTCACGGAATTTTGACTGGCAGAGACCAGGAGAAAAGCCTTCTCTGCTGTGGCTCCTGCCCTTTGATATATCTTACCCCATGAGGTGAGATAGGCTCCCACCCTTCTGACTTCCTGTAGTAGCCTTAAGACCTGGTCCTGCCAGATGGCTTGGGCCGCAAGGGGGTCACCCCACACTGTAAATGGTTGATTAAGAGCTAATCCCACTCCCTCCCCAGTGCATCCAGCTCCCTCCTCCTTCATTATTTGTTTCTACTGTCATTTTATAGTTGATAATTTTAATATTTTTTATAACTGTAAGCAGCCCAGAGTTGCTTTGAGATAAGATGGGCAGCAAATAAATTTAATAAATAAACAATAAATACCCTAGCTAATTCATAGTGCTAATGCATTGTGGTCGCCTCCTCAGCATTATTACACTGACATAAAAATGTCACCATTTTGACTACATCACTGATATGAGTTGCAGGGATGAAAGCTTTTGGTGAATCATATGGAGAAGGATGATGATGATGGCCAAGGTGATCTGGTGACTGAAGTGAAAAGCATTGTAATCAGGGTGGAATCAGTTATATGGTTACAACTGTAGCAAAACCATATTAGATACTTGTCTCCAGTAGCTGTGATTCTACTCACAAGTTATTCACTCAGCATTTTTGCAAAAGTGCACAGCTGTGCATTTGACTGCCTGATTTAATGCTTTATTGAGCAATATTTTTAAAAAAAACAATGAATCAGCTTTTTAAAAAGCACAGCCTTCCTGCCAAAAGAATGCTTATTTCTTTTTTCCTTCATCACGAGGATAGAAAGCTTAAGGATGCTTTTGGAGCATCTTTAATAGACTCCTTAATACATTTTACTTCTCCTTTGGGGTTTTAGGCTTCTGCCTGTAGATGCTCATAATGGGCTTGGTTATGCTCTGCTAAATATGAACATCAGAGAATGAACTGGAGCAACTTAGGAAATGGGAAACTCAACATTTTTTTTCTACCAGGGGGATATGGGCCAAGGAAATGAAAAAACTGTCCACATAATTTAATATATTGTGAGGAAGAACATTCAGCATAGATACAAAAGAGGTAAACCAGGCCCTTGAGAAATTTGAATGTCGTAAATTTAATTGTGATTCTTTAAAATGGAAGTGTTTCTCAGAAGAATCAATAGCATCCGGAAAGTCAGTGATAAGTAGATGAACAATGAACATAATGAACATGATGCACTTTGTTGTGAGACTCTGTAATAAGATATTGAACGTTAGAATGTATGCATATTAATTAGATGCTAAAGATATCACAACAGCTAGAATTTTAAGGAATGAAGTTGCCTTGATTGGATGTTCAGCTGCCTTCCGGAACGTTTCAGAACAGCAGAATGCTATGGACATGAGGGCATTGGAATTTGTAATTTGTCCAGGTATCCGGATATCCACATGCTTATACTCCAATACAGTTGGCTAAGTCTAAAATAATTCTGGTTGTTTGGCTTCTAATAAATCTACTGAAACAAGATGAATCATAACTTTCATGGAGATGTACTAGGAAATTGCTTGGAATGGAGAAAAATGGAAAAAAGCAGAACCCAATGACCTAATATCACCATTACATTTCCAGAAATTCATAACTAAACTAGTAGCAATAATGAAGTACATGTTCACTATGCAAATGACATTTGGAAGATCCTGAATTTCATTAAAATTAAGTATAAAGTCTCTTTTAAGATTACTGCAAATGGCCAGAATGAGATAATTGCCAGTATCTTTGTCATTATGCTATTTCTAGGAATCTTTGAAAGATGAGAACAGGCCTCATTTATACACAAAAGTTCTACAATCATGATTAGTTCAATTCTCACCAGATCAAGGTTGACTCAGTTTTCCATCCTTCCGATATCGGTAAAAGGGGGAACCTAATTGTTTGGGACAAGATGCTGACATTGTAAACAACTTAGAGAGGGATGTAAAGCACTATGGAGCAGTATATAAGTCTTAAGTGCTATTGTTATGTTTTTGATCGAGACAGTTCATGATTGCATATCACCATGACTAATCAGGTAATTCTGAAGGGAGGCAAAAGTGTATCATTTTCCATATTACATTCTTAAGGAAAGCAACTTTATTTCAATTTGATAACATTAACAGTTGCCTCAAGAATATTATGCAGTGTCTGCACTCTAGTTGAAAGACAAATTCAATAGAAAAACCTGAATACCCTTTTCATTTTGCGTTTAAAAAAATGTTTTCAGGATGCACTAAGCCAGTGCTTTTCAACCTTGACAATTTTAAGGCATGTGGACTTCAACTCCCAGAATTCCACAGCCAGCAATGCTGGCTGTGGAATTCTGGGAGTTGAAGTCCACATGCCTTAAAATTGTCAAGGTTGAGAAACACTGCACTAAGCTAAGAAGCCTGGTTCATGAGTACATTCTTCCATTTTAACCTCCACTCATATACATTTTTGGACCAGAGTCTTAGAAAAGTGTCTGATTGACTCAATTAGGTTTCAGAGAAAGCTTGGGAAATTCCCTGAGGTTCTGCTGCACAATTCATCTGAGGCCTCAGTCAGCCTTTGGCATAGGACAATGATAACGGTTTTGAATTGGAATATGGAAGAAACTGTTGAAAAAAAATCTTCATCGGGGTCCAGTTCAAGCTGGGAATAAACAAAATGGAGATTGCTTTAGAAAGAAGGTTGTAGTTTATTGAAGAGCAGAGCCAGACAGAAGCATGGCTCTGGGAAACCTGACCACATGTTGCTGGGAATTGTGGGTTTTTATACCTTCTGGGGCCCTTGAGGTTGTTTTCTGTTCCTGTTTGAGGCTTTGTATTTCCTGTGTCATGTACTTTGACCTGAGTCTGAGTGTGCCCTTTTGTTATTGATGGTTTAAAACTATTATGTCCCCAAAAGTCATGTCTTTTAAAGTTTGGATGGGGTATGAAGATTTTAGGAGTCTTTGTCTTCCTAATCTCATCAACCTCTAGCTTCCTGGCTCCAACCTTCCTGAATGGATTATTACATCTGCATTTCTAAAAGCTGATTTCTGGTGAGTTTCTGCTTGGGGCTATTAAGAAAAAATGGACTTGCTTTTCTGCCTTTAAGATCTTTTGGGGAAATATATTCTGCCTTTTTAATATTCCCCAAAATATTTCTTTCTCTGGATTTTTCCCACAAAACTAAACTAAGGACTACATCTACTAGAAGCTGTCCAGTTCCAAGTTTATAAGAGCTATTCTTGCAATTCTGAAATACATCATGTATGTTGCCTCGTGGTGAGTGGGCAGGCATATACAATATATTAAATCAATCTCTCTCTCTCTCCCTCCCACTTTCCCTCTCTTTCTCTCTCTCTCCCTCCCCCCCCCTCTCTTATCTACAAAGGCAAGTTAGGGTTTGGATTAAAGTTAACCCTAACCCAAGAGAATTGTGCAAGAAGCAGTATTTATCCCAAACCCAGCATGAAATGTAGGTCAATAATGACGTCAATGCTGACATTAAATATTTAGTATTAGGACAGCAGAATCAAACTTATTTTATTCTTGTAACCATGATTGTTATTGTATGCCATGATGTACAGACATTTAAAGTGCAAAATGATCAGACTGGCAAACTACCTTTTGTCATCATGAGTGGAGGAGAACTGTTAGCTGTGTGCTTCACAACTGCAATCATCCTTATGGACTTTTTTAAGGCAAAAACCCATATGCAAGTGAGATATAATAAACAATTATTTCAAACACATGCATTCCAGAGTGGCTTTGGGCCTCAGAAATATGCCTTACAGCAGAGGTCCTGAACCCCTGGGCCATGGCCCACTACCAGGTCTTGAGCCGTTTGAAACCAGGCCTTGGAAGTGGTGGGCAAGTGCATGCATATGCATCTGTACTTATGAGAGCAGTGGTGAGGGCATGCATACATGCTCCATTTGCACAGGTAGCAGGCGGCATGCCCATTGCTTGTGCAAATGGAGCTGAGCTGTGCACGCACATGCACTTGCCTGCTGCTCATGTGGAACCATCCCCTCTCCCCCACCCCGGTTGGGCTGCAAAGCTGGAAAGGTTAGGGAATTCTGACTTAGAGAAATGAATTAGATTTCACTGAAGACTTCTGGGTTAGACATCA